GATTTTCCTCCAGCCCCCGCTGCCAACCACCCTCTCACCAGGCTTGGGCTGTTGCGGCAACACCCGGCGGATGCCCCCGCGCTTAAGCCCGGCTGTAAAATGCTGGAAAATTGTTCATATTTTGACCTCGACCCTTAGGGCCTTTGTTTTCGCCGTACTCACGTTTGCTTTGAAAAAAAGCGATTTTTTTAAGGCTCCTTGCGTGCTCCACAAAGAGGGGAGCACTCAGCCACCATTAAATAAACCCCTCCGCGAGTCCTGGCGGCGGACACGGACGCCCTGCCACCGATTGCCTTTATTTCAAAGTATTGCTAACCGGGACGAAACTCCGATTATTTGTTGAAATCAAAAAAAAAAAAAAAGAAAAAACAAAAAAAGAAAAAAGCTTGAAGACAAAGTCACTCACCCATAGAGGTGCTGTGGAGAGGCCTCCGCCGGGGGTTATTGCTAGAATACTGATAGTACTGGGAGCCAGGCTTAGTGGGGGAGAGCGCTCCGGGGTTGCCAATATCCATGTCACCGCCAAGGAGACTTTGCTAAAAGATTAAAAATATATACGTGTGTGCGCGTGCATGTTAAATCCGACTTTCCTCATCATTAGCTCCTTCTCATCCCTAAAAATAACACCGGTAAAGAAACCTTCACAAGCGACTGAAACGCGGAAACGAGGACCTGCCAAAATTTTAAAGGAGACATTACAAAAATTTCCAGTTGAGCCTCTTGTCCTTTACTGGGGAAACACAAAGTAATTCATTTACGCTACGATTATTTACATTTAAAGGAGACTTACTGCCGACTTATTCAAATGCAATCAGTGGTTTAAAAACTTTTGGAGCTCAGTTAATGTATTTGAAGGTAATTTAGTTTCTCCCCCGCCAACAAGCTAGTGAAGTGCAGGGATTTAATGATAATAAAACTTAAAAAGGAAAAAAAAACAAAACCACCCCGATCCCGCTGCTGACAGAGCGGTCGGTTCCATGCGCGTGAAACGGCTTCATTGTCTGTCCCCGCGCGAGGGAAAATTCATCTCTGTGCCTTAAATCGATCAGATTTTGCCGTATTAAAAGCCGCACAGCAGGCTGCAGGCAAGAGGTGATTAAAAAGGTGAAAACAGAATTATACCTTATTAATATTTTCTGGAACGCTATCGGAAAAAATAAAAGCACCTCGGACCCCCCCCCTCCCCAGACAATTAACGCTATTGTACGGCGGCAGCGGTTGCAGCGGCAACGGACTTTCACTCTGTCCATCCTACGCCTGTACCATTAACTACGGAGATGCGGCCGAGCCAACGCAACATTTTCTCCGCGAGGAAAGGGCTCCGGTTCCCGGCCGGCAGCAGCGAGCGGTTCCCTGCCCCGCGCTGGACGGGAACTGAGAAAGCGTGAGGCGAGCAGGGCAGAAGAACCATCTCCTGAGTAATGTTCTATTTGCTCTAAACTACGCCCAAACTTACCCAGCAGATATAAATCCCCTGATTACACTCTGCATTGAACGCATTGTTCTTTTAATTATTCTGATACGCAATAAAACAGGTGTCGATACTACCATTTATATTAAGAACAAATTTACCATTTAATAAAGAAATTTTAAAATTAAGTACCAAAAATCTAACTTTATCGTTACTTGTAATCAACTTTTACTGACTGAACTAATTACTGTACTTGATAAAGTACAGAATGTGTTTTCCCTAATCTAAATTCTAATCACCATGTCACTCACAACAGACTTAGTAATGCTTCACTAACACACTATTCACATGCAAAATACTCTAAATAGGCCAATTATGACTCTGCCCCTGTTCCCTGGTTAACCCGCTGAGAACTGAAAAATTTCACAAGGCAGTCACCAACTAAAACAAAGGCTCCTTGTTTTAAATTAAGACAGTCTTTTTGATTCCTAAATAGCTCAACAAAGTGGCATGTCTTCTGCTGAAAGCAGTTGGTCAAATATGACCCATGAGCTGGAAAATCAGAAATTAAAACATCCTTACGCCTTGACTATACTTCTAAAAACATTCGAAGATAACTTTTGATTCTGGAAAACTATATTCCTCTTTTTTCCCAGAGAGGCTAAAAAGGAGAACGGCCGAGGAGGGACGGACAAACGGGCTCTGAGTGACGGGGGCTGAAAGCCTTTCTGGGTGTGCAGCCTCGCATCTGCCTCCGCAGGCCCCTCTGGGACGGGGAGATCCAGCGACGCCCGTCGCAAGGCGCTTTTGCTAATATCTTTACGTTCAGCTAATGCCTAATATACACCTGCAATGACTACGCTCCTCTTAATAAACAGCACCTGCGCCGGGAAAAAACTGGTTGCGAGTCTAAACGTCAGGGAAATGTCTGGAAAAATCCCGGGAAAAAAGGGTTCCCGATTCATTGCGAACACCCTCTGAAAATCAACGTCATTTTATTGAATGTCTGGGAGCATTTCAGAATGAAACGGCGCTCGCCACAGAAATTCTCTTCAGTCATATATTTTTATCACGTATACGTTTTAACATAAAGACAGACCTGCTAAATCTGTGCATGGTTTATCCATATGTCGGGGAGTCTGAAAGACTTAGAGCCATCAGCTGTATGAATTCCTATACCCAGCCTACTAGATTTCATTTGACTTCAAAAAAAAAAAAAAACACCAAACCCCAAAACCATATATAAGACAGCATTTGCAAACTATTTTAGATTAAACAAGAATCATTTTAGGAGCACAAAACGTACACATACCCTATGTTGGTTTTGGTTTTTTTCATCCAAACATTTTTTTTTCTCTATAAAAAGAGCAGAGGTTT